AATTTAAGCAAAAAAAAAAAAAGAAAATCACATCTAGCTCACATAGTATTTTTATACCAGCCCACATGCCCCTAGTAGCAATCATATAAAGGTAAGTTTTGCTTTAGTGACTATGAAGTCTTTTCACAGTCTAATCACCTACACTCATTGAGTGGATACAAACTATTTTTTAAGCTAATTGCTAGTTTGTGTTCATCTCCTTCTACTTTGGACTTCTGAGTTATACTTTTATTCATACATAAATTTCCTAAATATTAAGAACACTGTTCAAACTTGAAATACCCCTTTTTGGCTACCTATCAATCTCTTTATTCTGATAAACACCAATAGATTTATTACAACTTTGAAATGAACAAGGAAAAATACTCACTTGGATAGTAATCCATCCCGGCCTGAAGGTTTTAGAAGGTACTTGTTCACTTCTTTATTAAATAAGTGATGGGGTAACTGCAAGTGCTTGGTGACGTTGTAGAGGTTTAAGGCATACAGAGTCAAATCTCCTTCTTTATACCTTGGACTAAAAGCAAATAGGTTAACTCAGCAAAAATATTAACTGAACTTAAGGAAACAAGAACCTGATTATAAATAGGATCATGGATACTAAGTATTAGTATGTGAGACCTGTTCGTATCCTTCTTGTTAAAGATAATACCACTCGTGTAGTCTCATTCATCGAAAAATTGCTCTTCACACTGCCATTTTCTGAGCCAGAGCTCTGAGATCTTTGCTGCTCTACCAGGCTGGATTTCTAGAAAGCCAGTGAGACCACCCATTTTTTTATATAGGAAGGTTAAATGGTAAATTGTAAAGTTTGTCAGCTCACATGAATTCAAATTATAAACCATAGAAACAGGAGCTATTCCTAGCTTTAGAAGAAATAAGAAAAGTCAATCTATTGACATTTTTCAAAATGAACCCATTCAAACCATTCCTCTACTACTTCCTAGCTGAGCTCAATCCATAGAGTTCTCAATCACTGGAAACCAGAAATTCTACATGGCTTTCTGAGCTAGAAATAATAATATTTTAGTATTATCCTATTGGGGATGGCAGATTGAAACTCAGAAGAAGAAAAAAATCCCTGAGATTTAGGGAAAAATTTTGCTACTTAAAGCCAGAAAAGGGGCCAAAAAACTCTGGCACTTAAGGGTTTTTTTTTGTTTGTTTTTTTTTTGGTACCAGGGATTGAACTCAGGACCTTGTGCTTGCGAGGCAGGCACTGGAACCACTGAGCTAAATCTCCAGCCCGGCCAAAAAGCTCTGAATGGTGTCTCCAACTCTACAACTGTGGTTGCAACTTTTGACAATAAGATTTTTGTTGCTCCTGTTTGCCTTCTTTTGATTATTTTGTCATTTGGTAAATTTATCACATGACCCAAGATAAGTACATTCATATAACTGTGCATATCAATTCTTACATTTATAATCACTCATAATCCTTCAATGAATTATTCATATAAATATCATTTTGTTTTATTTGTACTAATATTTATTAAAATTTAGGATACAGCTCCATTATAAGTTATGACTATTAAAATCATTATCTAAATCTTAGTAGGACTGCCAATCCCTGTATTTAAGCAATGCTTTTATTTTTGTTTTGTTTTTTTAAAGTTAGATTCTGGTGTCATAGCACTATGAATACAAAAATAAAAAAATAAAAGGAAGAAGAATAATGACACACCCGTGGACACAGTGTACTGAAACTTGCTGACTTAAAGGTATGTTTCTACTCACTGATTGCTGTTGGTGCAATGAAGGTACACACGAAGCTTGCCATGGTCAGAGCCTTTTACGCTTGCCATGAACACAGTGGTGCCCACCAGTTGCTTGAACAGAAGAGAGAGCCAGTAATCCTGGTGTGGTGGTTGGGCAAAGAGAAACAAAAGAGGGCTGTTAAGGGCCAAGGATTTAGCTCAGTGGTTTCGCTGCCTGCTGCACAAGCTCAAGGACCGGGGTTCGATCTCCAGTACCAAAAAAAAAAAAAAAAGAGGGCTGTTGCTTAATTTTTATTCTTATTTTAACAAAACCAGCAAAAGACAGTTATCCTACAAAGAGGGTAACGGTTATTCTAAGGGTATTTAAGTAGAAATTTTTTTGGATGCTGGTGACCACCATGAATTTTAGGGAACTATCTTGTTTGCTGCTCTTTATCCCTGGAAGATTCTGTTTCTGTAATTAAGAGGTTTATTGCCAGTAGAAGACACATTTCAAAAACTCAACCCTCAGAAAGTTTACCTGTTCTCAGTTGTCTTCCATCCAAAGCAGAGCTCAAAGAATAACGCTCACACATATGCATACACAAGGACACATTTTTTAAATAAAGCTTGTTCATTTAAGAAACAAATAATTTCCTCTAAGACCTGATAGTCCTCCTAATAAAGTGATGGATTAGGCAACAATCATCACTAGCTATTGAGATCAAGAAAAAAAGAAGATCAAGAAAAGAGGCAGACATTATGTGCTTCCTGATAGAAGAACATATCACCTATGAAGAATTCTTGTCAAAATTAAAAATTTTCAACATGCTCAAACTTCAAGTTTTCAGGAAACATGGGGGACAAAGGAACACGTCAAATGACATGACAGGAATAAATTTAGCAAAACCCAGAATGTGGGAAACACTATAGAACAAATTACCTGGTTTCTTTAATTAATAAAGTACAAGGAATAACAGAGAGGGAAGAGAACTTAAAGATGAACATATTTTCCCAGTACTCTGGGAGACTAAGGCAGGAGGATCATGAGCTTAGCCAGGGTTCAAGCTTACTCTGGGTAACTTAGTAACTTAGAGAACACTGACAAAAAAAAAAAAAACAAAAACGCTGGGAATGGTGAAGTAGGTCAGCATGGAGGCTCTGGTTCAATCCCTTTTCAATCCCTTGTAATACACACACACCACAGACTTAAAGAGATATATTAACCAAATGTAATATGTGAACTTCGGATTCTGATTTGAATAATTAACGATAATATTTTAAACAATAAGGAAATGTGAAACACTGACTAAATACAGTCAAATAATTCTTGTTGAAAACAGATATCCTCAAATGGCATTTTATACTATAAAAATCAAGGAATTATTTTTTATGGGTTTCATCTTAATTTATATATATATGTGTATATGTTCAGATGGAATTTTGGATAAAAATTTACATTTCCTACTTTAGTACCAGACATAATTAGAGATAAGGTAGAATGAGATTTTATTCATAAATATCTTGAAGATTATTAACAAGAATATCAATTCTTAGGGTGAGTTTAAAAAAAATAAATACATAGGTACTGGCTCTATTTGTTTGTTTGTTTGTTTATTTGTTTGAGACAGGGTCTTGCTGTGTAGTTCAGGTTGGCCTTGAACTCACTATGTAGCCCAGGCTGGCCTTGAACTCACAGGGATCCTCCTGCCTCAGCTTCCTGGGTGCTAGGATTACAGGTATGCACCGCTGCACCCAGCTGGTACTGGCTTTTTACAAAGTTAAATAAATTATGATTTCATGACATAAAAATAGAGCTTTTGATACAATAGCAATTTTAACTTCATTTCACCAAACATTTTTTATTCAAAAGTGTTATTTTGTAAAAAGAGCCATAAAATTTCAAATTACCCCTTTTCGAAAAATATCAACAACCATTCTACAAATACCCCACATGTTAGAAAGTTACTCCTGGCTTTTGATTTCTTTTCTTGAGACACAAATATGTTAGACTGGATGGTCTCTAAGGTTTCTTCAACTCCTTATCCCATGGCCAGGCTATTTGTGGGAAGGACTGACTGTTCACTGGACTTAGAACCAGGGCCCCCCGGCATATTCCACTATGCACAGAAATAGAAAAATGGCAGTCACTCACAGGTAAAGGTTTGAAGTTTTGATCCACTAAGTGGTAGTTTCCAGCACCGAAGAGCACTTGTCTCATCACCACGTCTATGCCCATTTGGGCCGACAGGCCCAGTTTATCCAGCCACCTGGGACAGAGCGACACCCGGCTTTCTTCAGGTTTGAAAACGAAAAGCAGTCCATGCTACTTACACACTATCCTGCCTTGCTCATCTACAGGGGGGAATGCACAGAAACCCAGAGGCGCGGCGTTAGTCATAACTAAGCCACGAAGCCAAACGGCCACTAAGTGTGGCAGCGAACCCTCCACACTGTCCCACATTTGAGCATGATGACAAATCCTGGAAGACTGTTAAGATGCCAGAGGGGTTCCCTTCAGGCCAAGAGGACACCTACAAAGCACAAGAGACACACTCCCATCCCCACAGACAAGTTCTCAACCCACATCCCACCCAACACATGCACTGTGTGATGAGGACCGAAGAGAAGACTGCAGTCAGCAGTGGCCAAAACAAGAAATCAGCAGAGTCACAAGCGAGGTGTTACAGACACCTCCCCTCATCCAGTCTCTGTCCCTCACGCCTTCCTGAGCATAAGGGATCTATGTTTTATGCTAAGTTGGTAACAGCAATGATGGTGAAGAAGGAAGAATAAGGATGAGGGAGGACAGGGAAAAAACCTCAGGGTGAAGATGCAGAACTCTAGATCAAAACACAGGAGAGACACATGTTAAATAGAAGCAGGCCGGCAGTTCAAAGCAATTGTGCTTGTGGTATAGGATACTAAGGTGACTTAGTAGATGTTTAAATTTTTGGGAGTCCCTCTTGTGTGACCTCAGTCTGGAGGGCCTAATCTTCTTGGGAATCTACAATTCAGGTACATGCAGTAAGTACCTTTCTCAGAGCCACAGTAGTAGGTGTATTCTTCTTTTTTTTTTTAGATGCATTCTTTTACAATGAATTTTTGTTAGTGGAAAGACTCCGTGGCATGTTTTGGGCTATCATTAAGACAGGAGATGTCTAAACTAATTCATTGTTACAATAATTCATTTGGGACATCTGTTAATGATGTCCAACAAGCTTTAGCCAATCATTTTCTTGCAAATTCTGGCTCGATTTTGGGGCCTCGGCCACAAAAGCTTCCTTTGACATTGTTTTTGGCTGGTACTAATGGAAGGAATCCCTGAGCCATTCGGGTTTCACTCACATGAAGCCAGCTGCAAAGGTATTGGACAGCAGGCGTGCCCCGCCCCCATACGCAGAGCTCGTCTCTCCCAACCAGACTTTCTTGCCGGGTCTGGTCTCCTCCACCACCTAGGAACAGAAAGTTCGCCATGGTAACTACAAATAAGCTGACCAAGCACAGTGCTAAAGATTCACCATATTCAAAAACCTGTGTCACCACACCCATCTGTCCTATCTAGCTAAAAAGTGTGTCCACAGTCATTTAGGTCTTCGGCAATTATCTTTTATTGGAATAGTAGGGTATGGAAGGAATATAAATAAACTCATTATTATAATGTGTAATTAGTTCTACTAAAAGGCTATTGGAAGTATTTTTAATTTCTAGTCAATATACCTAGGTAAAAGCCAATGCTAAGAAAGAAACTACGGGTGAAGAAGACATACTGTGCTTGACTCTAAAATTAGAAAAACATGTAATGTACTCACCTACAGAATTTAGAAGTAACTAGGCTATACAAAATAAGAACTCTGGATTTACATGAAAAATTTTAAAAGATTGTTACCTGCAAAATTTTTTGCACGGATACAATGAAAGTGTCCAGCACATCAGGGTTTAGAAAATCTTCTTTGGTAGCAATCCGTCCATTCACATAGTAGCTAAATTAGTCAGAAAATATTCGGGGGAAAAATAACAGATTTACTTCCTGCTTTTAAATCAATTTCAACCTTGTTCTCTTTCCTATTTTTCTCATCTCCTCTCCATTCTAAATCAAAAGGGCAGAACGGAGGCACCAAAGGGAAGAGGACATGAGGAAGGGACTATTTCTCCAAATAAGTAGGAATCTGCTACTCTGCCCTCAAAAGGGCCACCACTTCTGGGTCACTGCTTGCTTTTTGGAAGCGATGGGTCATAGCTACCTTTATATTTCATGAGTTAACTGGTAGTGTGCCTTGATCTTTATAGAAAGTACATTATCCTTTGATCCCCGGTACCAGACAAAAAAAAAAGAAAAAAACAACAAAAAA